AGACCCTTCGCGTCCCCCCGGCAGCGCCTGAGGGAGGCTGAAACCGCCGCCCGGGCTTTTCGGCCTGGGGAGATGGGGTGAGGGCTCGCAGAGGCCTCCCGTCGCTCCCGCACATCGCAAGGCTCTCGCTTTGTACCCCTGCTCACCAAGCCTTGTTCCCCTTGGGAGGCAGAGGAACTGCAGACTCCTCACTTACCGGCAGGGCACAGCTATGATTTCTGCTCCCCACTGGGTCAGGCCTACCGTTTTCAGAACTGGAGAAAACGAAAAAGAGCTCGTCTTTCTGCTCCCATCCCTTTTACCCCCCAGCTCTCTTGGGAAAACGCATTGCTCTGTCGAGTGGGGTATGGGAGGCAGTGCTGCTTGGCCCTGTTTCTGTGTGCTTCACCTTGTTCTTTTGCCTGTTTTGACACAGGGAAAAGCGAAGCGGGAATGCCTGTTCTTCCCTTGCTTAGGCAAGGCTGATTTTCTCAATGCAGAGAGTAGTAAAATCCAACATGGTTATGATGTCATGGCTTAAGAAAGGATCATGAAGTGACTGACTTAGATTGGACAGTCACTGTCCACATGCACCATTTAGATTGGCACGTGGTGTGAATACAAAGTGAGCCAAGAGGTGAGGAAACAATCCGTACCTCCAAAATGTGTATGGTACATCAGGAAGTTTAGAAGGATGTCACTGAGAGTCTAATGAAAAATAGCCTTCCTGAAACAGGAAGATGCTAATGTGTTGTTGTTTGGTTGGTTGGTGTTTTCCCCTCAATAAAGTAGACACAGTTATTGGTTCTGTTAAAAAGCTCATTTGTGTGCATTCTGGATGTCTTCACTGAAAAACTCGAATCATCCATTCAGCTATGTCACAGTGAGGGGAGAAAAGCTTGAATGCTGTGTAATTTAGTAATTAGAACATTTCACATACTTTCTGTAACAGTTGCAAGTAGTTGCAGTGTTTAGAGTCTGTCTCTTAAAATCTGGACGCATTCAAGCAGAATGGAGAATAGCTGGACAAAAGAAAGTGCATTTAAGTGTAACTTTTTTGTAATCATTGATAGGCACACAGTGGGTTTCTGCAAGTAATGTTGGTAAATAAAGACATTATAGTTCTGCAAGTACATTCTAGTAGTTGGTTACCTTGCACAAAGATAGAGATGATGCACTCAGTCTGTTGAAAGGCCACAGGAGCTCAGGTATGTCCACCGAAATGTGTATCTTTAGGAATTACAGATGAGGTTCAATTCCTACTGTTGTCAGTTTCCAAGTAGCTTGCACTGTAATGCTAAAGAAGCAATACCAATGCCCAGCTCTAATGCTTGAACAAGACAAGATGGTGGCTAAACAAACTCCAAGTTGAACCACTCCTAGATACATTACCTGTATCCTGTATTCGTGCATTGCAGTAAATTTTACCTGGAGCTGTAGTGAGATTTGGGTGAAAGAAGCACCATCTTCATGCGTTACTCATTCATAAAAGACGAGTGAGGAAACAAGAGTAGTCTCTTCCTGTTCCCCTGCTTAGTATGTCACGACAGTCTTGCCCTCTCCCAGTCAGGAGTGACTACAGCTCTTTCTAAAGGTGAACATTTCATACCCAGGATGAGGGGAGCAGCTGCCAGCCTGTGGGAACCAGAGGAGAGGGATTTCATCTGTTCTCTGGGGTTTGCTTGCTCTCTGCTTTTGTCCTGTTTGTTACGTATCTGTCTGTTCCAGTTTACTTCCAGTTAAGTTGAAAGAGGAGAGCTGGGAAGGCCAGTTTATCATGATTGAGAGGAACCTACTTTTCCTCTTCGATTAGTAGTGAATCATCTGAAAATCACATCATGGATGTTTGAGATTAACCTTGTGTGCGAGTGAGAGGCAAGGAGAACAGTGCCAAGTAGTATACACCTGTTGTTTGGGAGGGAGGAGCACAGTTACATTCTCCATGGAACTGGTCTGTATGCTAAATCACTGTCTTGTAGTTCTGGATATTAAACACTTTTGTAATAAAGAGGTGGATTGCAGAAACTTCATGCAGTTCATCACATAGGCTTTCCAGCAGAAAAAGCACAATCTTAAGCTGATTTCAGGGTAGATCATATTTTTAAGTGGTTGTATATTTTGGATTGCATTTCCTTCTTGCCCAGTTTAGTTGCACTTCCTGTGGGAAGGTGGCATTACTAACTTCTTTCCTCTTGATAATCTGTCCTAATTCTGTGCAGACTTCCCTTGAAGACACACTACTTAATGCCACAGAGGCTTCACCCTTAAGCTAAGAAATGGACTTCTAGATTTTTGTATTGCTAAATCAATGAAAGTTTGGGTTTGGTTTTTTTTCATTAACATGGGCTTTTAAGATGGAGGCTGTACAAATGAGTATTTTGAGATTGCTGAAGAGCACTGTCTTGTAAAGGGACACTGTTAGGAATTCCTACATGCAATTACAAAATTTAGAAAATAAAAGCTTCTATTATGAAACTCAAACTCTAGCTCAAGATATGGTTTAGCTAAACTTCAAACTCTACACTGCTCCAAATGTGATTGTTACGTTATGGATAAAACAGTGACTTTTTAATTGCATATATTCATTACCATGTTCTAAAGTGAAAGAATGATGTTAAATGTATAATTGTAAGGAACTGAAATAATATTTTTATTTTTATGTAGCTTCCTGTTTTTCTGGCACTGACAGTGAATGGCGGCTTATCCTAACTCGGTTCTGAAGTGAGGTGGAAAATTTGTCCAATAATCCAGTATCAGCAAGACAGACAAGGTAATGGTAAATTTATATTTTTGCAAAGGAGGTGAAAGAAGACGTGTGGATGGCTGCTGTTTTATCTTTTTAATGCTTTAAATTAAAAAAATCCCAAACAACTTCTGCAAAGCCGTATGCTTTCACAACCAACTTAGTGTTAATTAGACTGAGTTGATGTGCCTGCAGTCAAGGCTCTTGTGTTGCAAACATGAATAATGTATTAGCGAGCAATAATGATATTATAAACTTCACTGTTTCATTGTAATGTCTGAGCAGCAACATGGCTGTGTGAATTGCAGGTCCCTTTTCTCTGCAGGGAGGCTGTATCTGCCTACCTCCTGTTTTGTCTGGTTAGAAGAATGAGTTTTGTTCAGTAGCTGCTTGTCTTTTTTTTTTTTTTTTTTAATGCCATTAGGCTGACCAAAGGGATTTGCATGAAATGTTTGCTTTATATTAAGTTAATTGCCCAAAACCCCAGAAATTGAATTGCAATCTAGAGATAACATCATACTACATCTTTTTAATGCAAAACATTGCCATCATAACTGTAGAGTTAAATATATACAGGTGCATCAGTGTATGATGTATTAAAGGTTTTAGCTGAGTGTCTTGTTTCTCTGGTAGGAAAGAACTAATTCTCAGTGCAGTACTATAAAAACAGACTGACAAAGCAGAATTCGATTTTCTCATAAAGCACTATGTTACAACATCATTAAAGGTAGGGGAGAGATACCTGCATAACTCTAGCAAGAATTCTTTTTGTGCAAGAGAACGAACAGCATGTTTGCCTGCATGTGGCTTTGGAAATGCCAATTTTGATGTGTAGGGCTGCCTGCAGTTAAGATCTCCAGTATTTGTACTTCAGATGTTAAGGTAACTGCTTCTTCAGTTGTTCCTTATTCCAGATCTGTTGTTTTGGCCCTGTCCAAAACAGTGAAGAAAGAAGCGGACATTTGACTAGCTATCTAGATGTTTGTGGTTTTTATTTTTTTTCATTCCTTTGCTCAGTACCTTTTCTGTAGTTTCTGGTTTTCTTTTAAACACGCCTTTGCGTTTTTTAACAAGAGGGATGCCTCATACAAAGTGATAATTTTTAAGTTTTCTTATATGAAGTGTTAAAGATAAAACTGTGAAGTATATGCTCTGTACTGCTTTGATACAAGATGGCTTTTTTGACTTCCTTTGGAGTGGTTGTCCATCTTTCTTAAACCACCGAGTGTAAATGACTGTTCTGACTATGCACACTGCATAACAAATCTGTGGCTCTGAGTCTAATGAGTAGCTAATATGTAGTTTATTGAGCAGCTTTTAAAAATCTATAATCTTGGTTAAAACATCTCAGTCAAATTTTCAAAAAAGAAAACATTTTATTATCTTCCTCTTGGGAGAGGAACCCTCAATGTGTTCTAATCATGCTTATAAGAAACCAGTGTTTAGCTCTTCATTTATGTGTTCGTGAAATAATGCATGATTCAGCTTGATCCCCTTAGAAAAGCCACCTTACCACCTGTAATCGTTGAAATAAGAGATTTTGTTATGGCGTCTTTCCTTAAATGGGGAAATAAAAAAAAAAAAAAAAGCCCTTTGCTGGTTATCGGGAATGTAAAAATAATTTTATGAGTTGATAATGTAACCAATATAATGTAGTAAGGCTGACACATTTTGCTGGGATTTCACTTTTCCTGAGAGAGATATATACATGTATCTCAAAAACAAATCTCAGGGATTATTAGTTCCTTCATAGCTGTTTTCCATGACAGTTTACAGCTGATATCTTACAGAAAAACCCACTCAAGTTTGACATTTCTAGATATCACACACATTTAAAAGCTGTGTGACTTTAAAAAAACCCCAACATTTACTATTAAATTCTGAGCACTGGGAACTGTGATAACTGGTCATTTGACGTGTCAGGTCTTACAGAGTTGTTCTTTGCCTGTGAGCTCAGTTTATGTATTATGCACTTGACTGTTTGAGAAATTAGTGCATCAGAGTGTGTCTAAGAGGGGTTCTTCGGAGAGCTTCCTAACAGTAATGCTTTCCAAAGATGGAAAGCTTCATAATTGTCATCAGATACATATAAATAATGAACAGTGTAGTTTTCTAAAATGCGTTTAATGTTTTATTGTTAACAGGTCTGCAGGCGATAAGGAATTCACCATGAATGGGCAGCTGGATTTAAGTGGGAAGCTGATCATCAAAGCTCAGCTTGGGGAAGATATTAGGAGAATTCCTATTCATAATGAAGATATCACCTATGATGAATTGGTGCTAATGATGCAGAGAGTTTTTAGAGGAAAACTTCTGAGCAATGATGAAGTCACAATAAAATACAAAGATGAAGGTAATACTTTATTACTGCTCTTAAGGTTTAATTACTTCTGTTGATCTAATATGATCTACCTATGGACAGAAACTCTGAAATTCACCTCTTCAGAATTGTCCACATTCATTGCCAATTGCAAGTGATTTCTTGTAAAATTCTTTGATTCAGACAATAGAAGCTGTATCTTTTGTGGTTATGCTGTCTTAACTTAGCTGTTCTTTCAGAAATAATGGAGGAAATGCTATCTGAAAGTTCATTTTTTGCTGATGCAGGAAGCTGATGCTATTGCAGTTTTCTGTCTACTCCACTATTTAGTGGTTTCGGTGCTAAAGTAGGTCTGAAGTAGAGGAGGGAATAAACATGTGACTTAACACAAGCTCCTACAAGACTTGGAAAACTTCACTTCTGTAGTAGTAATTCTTAATTATGTTTTCCCCCATCAGTAAAGATTACAAGACACTTATAACCCGAAATACTTATTAAAAGTAATCTTTTCCTTGAGTAATGGTTTGAATCTATCGGACGTCGGTTGTTTCAAAGAAAAGCTTGATCGTTAGTGTTAAATGCAACCTTAAGAAGAGCTTCCACAGAATGAAAAGAACCTTGTTTGAGATGTGTATAAAGAGAGATGTAGATTGGAGGGTTTTCCTCTTTGAATGTCAGAAGGGTGATATTCATAAAAGGAAAGTCAGAATGAAGTAGTAAAATCCAGTCTTTTAGTCAGTTCAAAGACTCTGATGATTCTGTTGGTGTGCAGTAAAAGAGCTACATTACTGAAGCATTCAGGTTCTTAATAGCACTGACTGTGGTGCTTAAATAACTTTTGTTCATGCATCCAGGCTATAAAATTTCACTTTGAGTGGTCCCAAGACAGGGGTTTTTTTGGGTTCATGGAGCTTTTGAGAGACACTGCTCAACAAAATTGATATGCAATGAAGAGCTAATATTTTGGGTCTTGATTGCTAGTGGGAGAGGGCTCAGTGGATTTGTGGTAGTTTTGGTTTTCTTCTTACCATATAATCAAATTTTTTTTTTTTTTTTTTGTTTCTGGAATGAGGTAAAAGTAAATCGATGGATGCTTTTTCATTAGGTTAAAGGTTCTGATTCCCGTTCTTTTAGTTCTCTGTTTTCGTTTATGCTTCTGTCTCTGTCTTCTTTTGAAGAAGATAATTACAGTCTCCATCATACACCATTATGGTTTCGTTCTTCTGTTGTGTTTCAGAGCCTAGAGACCTCCTACTGTTAATTTTAGCTTTCTTAGAATGTACTACTTCTCCACTGCGACTGTGGTATTCTTGACTTTGCTCCAACTAATTTAAGATTCTTCTTTAAATCTATATCAGTTGTTAGAAGCATTGGAATATATACATTCTAGCTATTTCTGTTTTGTTATTTATCCCTCCAGACCTTGAGGAATGTCTGTCCTTATCTATTGTGAGGAGATACCTTAAGGTGGTCTAAGGATTTCCACTGCTTCTACGACCTCGATCTAAGTCTTCTCAGAATTCACATGCACACTCTTTAGGTGTTCAGAAGAATGCTTAATGTACCCCTCCTCACTTTGTTTCTTGTTGCTGTAACACATGAAGCTAGTGATCTATAGGCCTGGATTTGGGATTTTCTACTTAAAGGTTCTGGAAAATACCGTGGCTTTGTTTCTTCATCACACTGTCATGATCCTTGAATCTAACACATTTTGGTTTGTTTTTCTTTTTTTTTTCCCCTTAAACTTGTATTCTTAATTGTGGAGGTTAGAAAACTTTAAATCCCAATCCTTTTGTTTCTGGATTTGTAGTCTAAGATAGTTAAAAGCATATTCTTCAGTTATATTTAGGTTACATGACACTTTTATTAATTACTATTGAAAAGAATTTTAAGTTTGATTACTGCCTTGTGGAGTTAAGTTTTGTATTCGAGTTGGGCATCTTTCAGACTTCTGAACTAAGTAAATTGCTCTACTAGGTGTAAAAACATTTTCATGTACTGCTTAGGGTTCTTGATTATGTAGTAAAACCTGATGTCTGAAAAAAACCCCAAACCCAAACAAACCACTGAAGACTACCAGCAGCGAATTTACATGAATCAAAGAGTAGAACTGCATCTTAAGCACAGCATGTTACTGAGTTACATATGTTAAAGGCCCTGTGGAGCTAATAGTAGAAACCTTACTTTTCTTTTTTGAAAGTTAGGCTTGAATTTCAAACTAGTGCCTAATGTGAGGTTGTCCTTTTCGTTCTTTTTCTTGATCACATTGCAGTAGAAGTTGTGTCATGGTTTAAGCCCAGCCGGTAACTCGGAACCACGCAGCTGCTCGCTCACTCCCCCTCTTCTTCTTCCCCCCGCTCCCAGAGGGATGGGGAGGAGAATCGGAGGAATGCAACTCCCACAGGTTGAGATAAGAGCAGTCTTTTGGAGCCAGTCATGGTTCTGTCTTATCTTCTGTGCATAAGTTCCCTGCACACTGATTCTTGGGCTAAAATAATAAACTTTTTACTGGTAACTTCAGAATCAAATAGGGAAAAATATTTTTGAGTAACAAAGTAACACTAGGGCAGAAGCCCTAGTGTGAAGGTCAGGAGTTAAAAGACTTTGCTTTTAATGTAACTCCTTTCATGTTCTTTTCAGATGGAGACCTTATAACAATTTTTGATAGCTCAGATCTTTCCTTTGCAATTCAATGCAGTAGAATACTTAAGCTGACATTGTTTGGTAAGTATAGAAGATTATCTCTTCTTTTAGTAATGTTTATTGAAATTCTGGCAGTGGGCTTCACTGGAAGGTACTAAAAACTTTCAGTTTTCACCTTAGAAAAATGAAATCAGTAAATTAAAAATACTGTCTTAATACGTGATATTACTCTGTTTCATGTGACATCTGAACTTATGGAAAATTAAACTATTTCTTTTTATAAGATTGCTTGAAGTATTTGTTATATGCATGTATGTATATATATATGGTCAATGTTTTTTTCTTAATGTTATTTTCCATGTTAACCCCAATCTAGCATTTGTGGGGGTTTTTTCACAGGTGTATGAGAAATTTAAGATGGTGGTCATTCCGCAGTGTTACTAGCAGTGTTACACTGCTAAAAACTAACAATTGCTTAAAGCTGAATAGACTTCAACATTTATCCTGCAGCCTTTGTATAAAATAGTCCTTTATTTTAAAGCTACTATTGGTAGATTAGCATATAGTTCCAGGGAATGGTGAGCAGCTTTTAACTTGGACACTGACCCTATTCATGAACTGCAGCAGTTGTGTGTATGCTGCATTAGTTCTAAAGGCACTTTCAAAAGGGACAGCTTTCCACAACTAAGTACGATATTTGTATTGTTCAGGGTATATTCCTGGAGATGAGTAAATAATGCAGAAACTTACTGCAGACTTTACTCTGCAGTTCTGGTACTGCTGGGTACTGTTGAACTGAGATTATATTGAAGGAACAGTAAACTCCAGAATGAGTTCAATCTGTGTTGACTAAACTTTGTCACTTTAAACTCCATGGAGGATGATGGTGCTACAAGCAAGTAAGAGTTGGGAATTATTTTTTTTTCAACTGGATTTCAGAATGTTACTGCAGACTTACATTTATCTAATTGTTGTTTTGCAGTGAATGGACAACCGAGACCCTTAGAATCTAATCAGGTGAAATACCTGCGTCGAGAGCTGATAGAACTTCGCAATAAAGTCAATCGTTTACTGGACTGTTTAGAACCACCAGCTGAACCAGGGCTTTCCACTAACCTGCCTGACAGTGGTAGGCAGCCTGGCAAAGCATTGTTTGGTTTGACTTGCAGAGTCGTGTGCTGTTCAACAAAGTGAAAAATGGAGTCTTGAATATTGGCTGTGATCATTTGTAATTGTTGCTTGATGGCTCAGAACATAATTTTTAATGCTCTCTGAGGGACAATTTCTATACAACTTAGCTGGAGTAAAGCACTAAGCCAACTTGGGAATAAAGCTAAAGTTTTGAGTTTCTGTGCTATGTATGAAAACGCTGTAACTAACACTTGTGAGTCATGACAACATTTTGAGAGGGCTTTGAGCTGAATTAATAGTTGGTTGTTGCTGAAGAGTTCTTGCTCCCAGCTGAGCACTCCCACTGCTTACTTTGGGCTAGCTCTGGTGCTTGTCTTGTCATGTTGCTGAGAGAGTTTGATTCACTAAAACAGTAAAAAGAGAATTCAGCGAAAATTATATCTACTTTCTTTGCCAGGTTAGGAAATTCAATCCACACATTTTGAGCTCAGACCAGCATCAGAGCTGTCTCAGGGTAAGCAGCACAAGCGTGCAGGTAGGGGTGTGAGGGAATTATAGGGGGAGGGCAGAATGGGAAGGATTCTCCCAGTTATGAGGCACTGATCTCCTAGCTTAGGGCTGTTGTACTGTTAAAACTGTACCTCTGTGTGCTTAACAACAGATTTTGGGCAGTCTGGGCACAGCAAATAATGATGCAAAGTCATGGAGTACAGCGTTCTGAGTGAAGAGGCGAACCAAGAACTCCAGCCTTTCTTGTAGGAAACGCTGCTTTTGTATTTTAGGGTGTAAACAAAGCTAGCCACTCTACACCCTCTCTGCACTTACTTGTTTTTTAAGAGAAAATGTGGCAACCCTATGAAAGGGGTTTCTGAGTGCTTCACTGCTAGGTGTACAATTGCAAAGTGATGAACTTTACCTGTCAGCTTAGGAAGAATTCAGGGAGAAGGGGATAGAAGAAAAAAAAAAGCTGCTATAAAAAACCTGGAACCTATACTATAAGTTACCTTAATCTTGAATTCTCTGTAGGCAGGAGAATATGCAATATGTTTGAAGCAGGAGCCTTGTATCTTTGAATATGAGAGTGATAAAAGATACTGATACTCCACAGTGTCAGTGTATCTTCAAGTAACTGTGTAATGAAACTTAAACTGTCTGATTCATCACAGTTTGAGATAGATCACTGATTCATTGCTATTATACTAACATGAGCATTTCAACAGTTAAAACATTCCCTCACCCCCCAAACTAAGCAATTGAAAGTTGCTGTAGAACAGTACATACACATGGTTGTATTTCAGATCTTGGGACTTCATAACGGGGCATTTTGTTTTGTAGATGCTGTAGACGGAAGGGAAGAAAAGCCTACTGGTGCTGATTCTAGTGTTAAGCCATCTACTCAAGTCATAGCAGCAAGCATGTCTGCATTTGATCCATTGAAGAACCAGGATGAAATCAGCAAGAATGTCATGTCAGCATTTGGCTTAACAGATGATCAGGTGTCAGGTAAGAATATGTCTTAAGAAAAGGGAAGCAAAACCTGTTTGTAATCAGTGACTCAAACCTTGTTTTATAATAAAGCATTTTATTTTGAATGTATTAAGCTGTGTTCTGTATTAGCTATTTCTTTTCTGAATTCCAAAACTGGGTATGTTAAGGTGTTGTAACTGTGTTGCAAACTTTTGTGTACAAAGTGTTGAAATGTTGCTTTTGCTTTTAGCAGTGTGTTTTAGCTTGGAGTAGAAAATGGCTTGCTTACTTTACTAAAAAAAAAAAAAACAACAACTAAATTATGTAAATCTATTGTGTAGACTAACTTAACTGGTATCTGCCAGTGATAGGAAAACAGTATCCACTGCTCTGCCTTTGGTTTTGACCTTGCAGTTCATGTTCTTGCCTTGTGTTTTGCTGTGTGGGTCAGTTGGAATGTTTTGTATGACCCTGCCTTTTCTCTGTTCCATTTCAGAAGTAAATAGTGTTAACTTTTTCACTGTTAACAAAAAGGAATAACATACTTGTTTGAACTGTATTTATTCTTGAAGAGCTGCATGACTGTCTAGTAGTAGAATAGTAAAACTGATTATACTAAACTGAATGCAGTCAACTTAAGACAGGATAACTGAAGCTAGAAGAGCAATGTAGAATGTAACTGGGAGTGATGCAGAATATAGAGAACTGATTTTGCACAGAGTCTGTGGGTCTGGCAAGGTTCAGTGTAGCATTGAAACCTGAAGATAAAACTGTTCTTGGCTAATGGGTGTGTTGTGTGCTCTCAGCTTTAGAGCAAATAAATTTTATATGATGTGTGAAGTAATGATACAGGTGGGTAAAGGAATAGCAACTGGAGCTTGTTTCTGTGATGTAGCTGCTTTGGCAGAAGTGTGAATGCGACTGTGCAGGATCCGAAGTTGTATCCACAGACAGAGTGGCTGCCTTCAGGTTGGCATACTGGTCTGTGGATCAGGCCTATTGCTTGATCTCTTTCTCTCCATGGCACATTTTTGGTTTTGTCACAGCACAGTTATTTCACAAACCAGTTAAAGGTTTAATGGTTCTCAAAAACTTACAGTGGGTTGTCTCTGAACCCACTGTGAAGTGATGGAATAGAGCATGCAGTACAACTAGTGTAAAACTGGAGCTAATTTTTGAAGGAGTGATTTTGTCTTCTGGTACAAAGCCTCAGTGTCGGTTCATACTTTGGTCACAGCTTCAGTGATACTTCAGTGTTTATGTGTCTCCATAATTTTTCTCATTGAGTGGGCTTGACCATGCTTTGAATGTACAAGGAACTTCACAGGATTAAGCAGGATATAGGAAATTCTGTTTCTAAAGCTGTAATTCTGCAGTTGTGCATATAAAGGCAAAGCCAGAAGTAGGCAGATTTGATTCCTTTTCTCCCTAATAAGGGTACCATGAAAACACAGTTAAGGGCTTGTTGGATGTATATTTATATTGTGTAAATATAATGTTCTTGAAAGTGAATTTGCAGCAATTCTAATGCTTGTGCTTAACTTTAGGCATGTATTTTAAAGTAGTGTCTCATAGGTAGCATTCATATAGCTAAGAGTTGGGAAGATCCTCCATGTGGGCCACAGTAAAACTAGTGCATTTCAACAATTTCATGCAGCCTTTCACCTTTGCTCCAGATGAGAAAGAACAGGTATATAGGTGCACATTCTGTCCAAACATAGCAAGTCTTCAGTGAACATATGCAAGGTTAATGCTTGAAGCAGTGGAAAAAGCATGTTATGGAGGGGTTTATGCCACAAATGGGTCAGGTTCCTTGGAAGAATGAAATTTGAGTCGCCTAGAAACAGGTGGAAAATTCCCCCCCAACTATTTTCACAGGAGAGTTTTAGCTTGGGTGGGACTCTCGGGTGGAAAACTAGGGAGGAGGGGGGAAAAAGTTAAAAACTTTGCAAGGAATGGTCTTGTGCAAGACTTTTTTGTAATTCAAGCTCTCTGTTAGTTTGACATGCTGTATGATGTTGTCCTTGCTCTTCTAGGACCACCCAGTGCCCCTGCAGAAGAGCGATCGGGAACACCGGACAGCATCGCTTCCTCCTCCTCTGCAGCCCACCCACCTGGGGTTCAGGCACAGCAGCCACCCTACCCGGGCACACAACCACAGACTGGGCAGGTGGAAGGTAAGCAGCGTGTTTTCTGCTATGTAAAGCGTGAATGATGGTGTCTGAATCTGAGGGATCAGCAGCTATGACTTTGTATTAGCAGCCCAAAGTCAATACCAAATGACAAATTCATCTGTGCCACTAGGCAGAAAAGTTTTTTTTTTTCCTGACATGCTGTTCAGCATAGAAACAGGAGATGGAGCAAGAGCCTTATGTAAAGGTAGGTGATGTAAGGTGAAGAGGATTTTCATGGTACTGTTTTCTATTTGCATCTGTGCTCACTTTACTGTAAGGCAGATTTATATAGGCTGCACATTACAGTTGAAGATTTTAGTTTGTATCATGTCCTGTGTGTTGTGTCAAGCTTTTAGTCAGCTAACGGTTTGTTGGCTTGTCTAGTATGAATTAAGAATGTTCTTTGCTTTTCATTTCTAACGAAACAGAGCCGCTATTTCATTGCTTCCTTATTATGTACAGCTCTGTGCTAGTCAGATTAAATCTTGTGATTATCTCATTGCATTGTAGTTTTCCCATGTAACCCTTGAGAGCCTCAGTTGGCTGTCCTTTAAGGCTTAAGGTCTTAACTCTGGTGTGCAGATTCCTTTGTGCTATGCCCTTTTACATATTTTTTTTACTTCTAAAAATAAACCTATTTAGAGGTTTGCTGTGTTTGGGCATCATTGTTCTACTGATCTTTTTGAAGAGCACTGAGCCTTCAGATCTGTATAGTTCTGGATGAAACTGTGGAATTTCTACCTCTGTATGAAGTACAACGTAAAGTTGTTTCTGTGCAAGAGTAGAAAAAAGTTGCAGCACTCTGATGCTTTCTGTACTGACATAGCGCTGAGACATTTGAGAGGCATTATTGAGGAGGATCACAGGATCCACGGTCACTTGGTCTGTGTTACCTGATGGGCACCGTAACATTCTGACATTGTCACAGAGCATTTGAACAGTTCATAGTTACGGATAATATTTAAGCAAGCATGAATGCTATTGGTTGCAGTGAAGCTTATAAAACACTTGTTTTGCTGCTTTCAGCTCTGTGGGTTTTCTTTTTTTTCTTTTTTTTTCTTGCTTCCCTAAGAATTATTTAAGTGATAAGCAGAAGCATCAAGAGACATCTTTGTAGTTTAAAGACGCATCTGTTTGGTGTTTGTGTGTAGAAGGACTTTAGGAAAAAAGTGGTTTGAGTTCTTCTGTCAGCCGCAAGAAAACTTGATATTCAAAAAAAGTATACCCTCTGTTACTGCATTTGCATGTTGATGTTAAACTAGACTGAAACAGATGAAATGCTTTAAAGCACTACCAGCACTAGGTTGGAATCCTGATTGGCTGCTAACACCAGGGAAGGGAAAAAGTACTTGTTTCAGCAAAACTCATCATACTTGGGAAAGAAGTTGTCTAGGCTCATGTTTCAGGCTCATGTTTCAGAGTAGATATAACGATTTTTCTGAACTTGGATTGAGGAAAGTAGTGTTTTGGTGGGGATTTTTTTGGTTTTGGGGATTTTTTTTAGTTGTTTTTTGGGTTTTTTTTAAACACTAAACTGTGCTATGCCTTTGCCCAAGTCCTTTTTTATTTTTAGGTAAAAGGACAACAGCAGTAATTGTGAAGGTTTTGGTCTGCAGCTTATGTAGTTCTTATTATTTCCACTGAATACATTAAGTATTGATTAGATTCACTCTATGAATAAGGTTCAGTTCTTGAAGAGATCCGAAGTCATTATTGCACTTTGTTCATCAGCAATACTAGTGGCAGCGCTTATGCTGTGTGCCTTTATGCACATGGTAAATAGTGGTCTCTTACCAAAGCTGGGTAATATGTGTATAATTACCAAAGTGGGGATTTCTCTCTCTCTTTTTTTTTTTTTCTTTTTAATTTAATAAACTAAGTTGCTTTTACCCAAAGTGTTCAAAGACTTTACTTTAAAACGGGGAGTAGCTTTCCATAGTTCTTCAGTGTCTGACAGCACCTCAGTCTAGTGGTAATTTGGGGACCTGTGCTGTCCCATGAGAACCGGTGCAGGACCATGGCCCAGCCAGATCTTTGGATAAATTTTTTGGTGGTTAGGTTTTCAGCAGTTTGGGTTTTTTTTTTTAAACACTAAACTGTGCTATGCCTTTGCCCAAGTCCTTTTTTATTTTTAGGTAAAAGGACAACAGCAGTAATTGTGAAGGTTTTGGTCTGCAGCTTATGTAGTTCTTATTATTTCCACTGAATACATTAAGTATTGATTAGATTCACTCTATGAATAAGGTTCAGTTCTTGAAGAGATCCGAAGTCATTATTGCACTTTGTTCATCAGCAATACTAGTGGCAGCGCTTATGCTGTGTGCCTTTATGCACATGGTAAATAGTGGTCTCTTACCAAAGCTGGGTAATATGTGTATAATTACCAAAGTGGGGATTTCTCTCTCTCTTTTTTTTTTTTTCTTTTTAATTTAATAAACTAAGTTGCTTTTACCCAAAGTGTTCAAAGACTTTACTTTAAAACGGGGAGTAGCTTTCCATAGTTCTTCAGTGTCTGACAGCACCTCAGTCTAGTGGTAATTTGGGGACCTGTGCTGTCCCATGAGAACCGGTGCAGGACCATGGCCCAGCCAGATCTTTGGATAAATTTTTTGGTGGTTAGGTTTTCAGCAG